CACCAAGAGAAACAAGTAAAACCCACAGCAAAACACGAATATCAAGTGCCTCTAGATGCAATCACTCAAGTAATACACTTGGATTCTCTCCCAATCTCACAATGATGATGGATCAATGATGGAGATGAGTGGGAGGACTTTGGCTAAGCTCACAAGGTTGCTATGTCAATGCAAATGGCCAAGAGAGTGAGCTTGAGCCGGCCATTGGACTTAAATAGAAGCCCCCATAAAATAGAGCCGTTGGGCTCCTCACTGCACTGAACACAGGCCGACCGGACGCTCTGGTCATATTGACCGGACGCTGGACCTCAGCGTCCGGTCGTGCGATGTGCGCCACGTGTCATCGGCTTCAAACACCGATTGCTCGATTTCAACGATCAAGTGATGACCAGACGCGTCAGTTGGAAAGTGACCGGACGCAGGACCTCAGCGTCCGATCATTTCCAGTAAGGTTCCAAACGCGAATTTTCACGACCGGACGCGTCCGGTCGTGCCCGACCGGACTCACCCAGCGTCTGGTCACTCAACGTCTCCTCTGTACACCCCACGTCAGCGTACGTCAGCACTGACTCGACGCACCCTGCCAGCGTCTGGTCGAAGACCGAAACACGTTCCTCTGCTGCCACTGACCGGACACGCTGGTCCCACTGAGACCAGCGTCCGGTCACTTACAGTGACCTTCGACTTTTCTATCTAGGGTGTCGGTGGCACCGTCAGACTGTCCACACTCTACGGGCGGACACTCCGCCAATGAAGTTTCCTACCCTTGCTCAAATGTGCTAACCACCAAGTGTATTACCTTGTGCACATGTGTTAGCTTATTTTCACAAACATTATCAAGGGTGTTAGCACTCCACTAGAGCCTAAATGCATATGCAATGAGTTAGAGCATCTAGTGGCACTTTGATAACCGCATTTCAATACGAGTTTCACCCCTCTTAATAGTACAGCTATCTAACCTAAATGTGATCACACTCGCTAAGTGTCTTGATCACCGAAACAAAATGGCTCCTACTATTTATACCTTTGCCTTGAGCCTTTTGTTTTTCTCTTTCTTCTTTTCCAAGTTCAAGCATTTGATCATCACCATGCCATCACCATCATCATGATCTTCGTCATTGCTTCATCACTTAGAGTAGTGCTACCTATCTCACAATCACTTTGATAAACTAGGTTAGCACTTAGGGTTTCATCAATTAACCAAAACCAAACTAGAGATTTCACTTGTGCGATGCTCCAGAGAAGAGCTTTGTGAGGGGCATTGTGCTCGCCCCGCGGAACCCGCGAAGAGCAACTCTAGTTGAGCGTGTCATTGAGCTACCCTCACTTTCGGGATAGGTTCTTGCAGTGTCCAACGTGCGGGCTTGGCGGGTTATGACAATTAGGCGCCGAACCACCAAGTAAGCGGTCGACACAACAGGGACGTAGCGTGTTGGCAAGCACGTGAACCTCAGGAGAAAATCTCTGTGTCAATATTGTTCTTCCCGTTGGTTTGCAATCCCCTTACACAAGCTTGTGGTTACTTTTATATACATTGTGCTTGTGTAGTTGCTCTTATAATTAGTTAGCTTGCTAGCTTACTAGTTACCTTCTTGCTTGTGTAGCATAGAAGTAGCTCCCTTGCGTGGCTAATTTGGTTTGTGTAACCTTATTAGTCACATTGCTTAGTTTGTGTAGCTAAGCACTTGTGCTCTCTAATTTAGCATTGGTTGCCTTGTTATTGAGCATTGCTAGTGAGCTTAGGTGGCTTTGTGCTTTTGCTTACTAGTATGTGTAGGAGCTCCCTCATTGCTTGAAGTACTAGTGGCATATGTTTGTGTGACCTTGCTTCTAGAATTGGTTAGGTGAGCTCTAGCTAGCCCAGCTCCTTTGTTGTCTAACTAGGATCTTTATAAGGTGCTTGTGAACTTTGATAGAGGGGTATAGTCTTGGCTAGATCGAATTGTTTTAATTCCGCATTTGTTTCGGTTAGCCGATGCGATTAAATTTAGAAACGACTATTCACACCCCCTCTAGTCGCCATCTCGACCTTACGGTCGTCCCTTGGGCAGTCTTCGTCGGTGAACGGGTGTCCACCAACGATGCATCGGCCGGTACTCCAGCTGGCCAGCTCATGATGAATGAGGCGACGAGCTCCTCCAGCGTTGGGTCGACCCACGCGGGAGGCCCCACGCTCGCGCCCAGCTCCAACAGCAGTGGGTCAAGCTCGAGGTGTGCAGCAGTAGAGACGGCACCGTTGTCGGAGTGGTCGGCAGGCGCGGCCATGCTGGTGTCCCTCGCCGGCTTTTATGAGGCACGGTATTGTCTTTGAAGTCTAGAAACTAGAAGAAGCTAGGTTTGTCTAGCTTACCAGTTACCACCATATTTCATAATCTAGTTTTCTCTAGATTTCATAAGCTATGTACGTTTGGAGCCCTAGATGGACTATGGAAGCCAATTTCCACAATCCCTTAGAATCCAAACATGGCCTTGGTGCATGGTGCCCCAGTCTAGTGAGTCGCATCATAATCTCAGTCTCACACTCGTGCACCATAATGTAGATGTTTGCTAAGATCTTTGACATCAATCGGAGCTGAAGCGACCATCCGCCTTCACATTGTGTGCAGGAGCAGCAACATGATGGCCGATTTGGTTTCTTACTGGGATTAGGCTTGAGGGGGCAGGGGGAGCAAGAGGGGCCACCACCCCAGTCCCAAAATCTTGAGGCCCTGATCCTGTATATGTACGTATAATTATGTGTATTTTTCTTCGCTTTATTTTTCTTATTATTTTAGTCTACACAGGCTCAAAGTAAATTCATACGTACAATTTTAATAGAAACCATTTTGCTTATGACTATTTTTTCGATGATAAAAGACTTAACTAAAGTTCCAAGGCCAATACATCAAGTTGATACAAAAAATTGAAAAAGGCTTCTAGCCATTGCCTAACAAAAACCATAGCAAAAAAAAAGTTTATGCACATCATAGGGCATTGGGTAAGAGAAATCACAGGAGGACTATTGATCTTGTGGAGTATATGAACCTCTTGGACATACTACAATCGGTCTATCTTCAGCTGACACTAAAGATATGACGATCTGGAAGTGGACGGCGAACATAAAAGTAAAGATCTTCCTTTGGCTTGCATTACGAAGTGCCATTGGATCATGGACCGAAGGCACATACTGGAGTTGCACAACACATGCCTCTTCTATAATCAAGAGGCTAAAACAATGGATCACATCTTCATGCTTTGCTCGTTCACAAAAGAGATTTGGGAGGTCATCTTTGACAAACTACAAATTTAGGTAACTGCTTTAGACTTGACAGTCTCCTTGTTAGACCGGTGGTTTCACATCAGGACTCAACTGTCGGATCCCTAAGAAATGGCTTTGACACTTTGTTCGCGCTTGTCACGGAAGATTTGGAAGGAGTGCAGTGTCCGCCTCTTCTGAGGAGAGTCGACGGATGCGCTAGATCTGCTCGATAAAACCAAATAGCAGGCCGACTTGTTGCCAGCAGCAAACATGAGACACTCGAGTAGTTTAGTTAGCGAGTAGTCTATTTCGTTTGGGCGTTATATTAAACGCGTGGTGTAACCTAAGTCTGTATAGCTTTGATCGGCCTGTTCGTTGGTTGATTTCTGGGTTGATAAGTTTGACTGGTGCTGGTTTGTTGTAAGAGAAAAATATTGTTGGCTGGCTGATAAGTCATGGCTGAAATTAAGAAGCGAACAGGCTGGATAGCCAAACCTATCGTGTGAGTTTAAACTATAGCCATCTTAATACAAATGGTCTGTTCGCTGGTTGGTTTCTAGGCTGATAAGCACGGTTAGTGCTAATTTGTTGTGAGAGAAAAATACTGTTGGCTGGTTAATAAGCCTCGACTGAAACCAACAAGCAACAAGCGAGCAGACTGGAAGAATCGTAGCTCTCCTACTTTTTTAAGAAAAAGAGAAAAGATCATAGAAGATGAGTAAGACTTGAGTTACAGCAGATTTAATCCCCCTCAGTCCTTTTCTATCTCCAATTCACGACCGAAATCGAACCAGCTGGAAGTGTGTTCATAAAGCTGAGCATGTTGCACTCACGTGTGGACACTATGGCACATATCTCAAACGTGTGGCGCGTACGGGATTTCCCCTGTCGATGGCCACGCCGTACCAGGTACACTGGCGGACCATGCGTGCACATGGACAGATGCCTTGTTTAGATTGCCTCAAAATTTTAAATTTTTTCACTCTCTCTTCATTACATAATTTTTAGACGCATGTATAGAAGCATTAAATATAGGTAAAAAAATAACTAATTATACAGTTTAGTTGTAAATCACGAGACGAATCTTTTAAGGCCAGTTAGTCCATGATCAGACAAAGTTTATCAAATACAAACGAAACATGCTACTATGTCCAGATTACAAAAATTTACAATCTAAACAATGCCAGAAAATCCCCGCCTGAAACGGAGAACCAGGTCGCTACCGCTACCGGTACCGTCTGTCCCGCTCGCGCGTGCAAGTGCAAGCTGCAACTTGCAAGTGGCCACAATTTCCTCGTCTCCAATTCCACGGAAAGATCGTCTCGCCCATCACCACGCGGGGCCCAATCAGCCCACACATCAGCCGATCAAATCAAAATCTTGGCCCGCGCGGCCGCGCCCGCGGTCCCGAGGAGATACTCCCGGCTTGCAGCGGAAGCCGCCAAGCAACTGGCGGAGCCGAGAGCGCCTCTCGTCCACACAGTCACCCCGTCCGGCTGGTCCGGGTCCCCCCGCCCACACCCACCGCGTGCCGGGCCGGAACGGGGCGTGACGCGCGCTGCGCGATTTATACGCGCCAACCACGCCAGTTGCTCGCTGCTTTGCTCCCGTTGCCGTGCTGATTTTTTAGGTGGCTGCTGGCCTGCCTGTCTCGAGCGGGAAGCTCCGGATTACGCGAGGCCTGCCTGAGAGCTGGGTGGGGTGTGTGTGTGCCGCCGAGCCGCTGAGGCGAGGAGTAGGAGAGGGCCGGCCGGGCGGCGGCATGAGGATCCAGTGCGACGCGTGCGAGGCCGCGGCAGCTACGGTGGTGTGCTGCGCCGACGAGGCGGCGCTGTGCGCGCGCTGCGACGTCGAGATCCACGCCGCCAACAAGCTCGCCCGCAAGCACCAGCGGCTCCCGCTCGCGCTCGGCGATGCCGCGGCGCTGCCCGCCGCTAGCAGCCTCCCGCGCTGCGACGTCTGCCAGGAGAAGCCGGCCTTCATCTTCTGCGTCGAGGACAGGGCGCTCTTCTGCCGCGACTGCGACGAGCCCATCCACGTCCCCGGGACGCTCTCTGGCAACCACCAGCGCTACCTCGCCACGGGCATCCGCGTCGGCTTCAGCTCCGTCTGCGGCGCCGCCGGCGCTGAGGGCATCCCGCCGTCGGCACCGCCCAAGGGCAGCTCCAACAAGCCCGCGGCCGTCAGCGCGCCAGCTGCCGGGGCCACCAAGACAACGACGGTCAAGGAAACACTGCCGCGGGAGGTGCCGTCGTCGCCGTTCCTGCCACCGTTCGGTTGGGCCGTCGAGGACCTCCTGCAGCTGTCGGACTACGAATCCAGCGACAAGGCAAGCACCTAACCATCCAAAACCTTTTTTTTTTGTTGTTCTTGTTGTTGATTGGCAGCGAGGACTAGAAATCAACCACAAGTGTTTCACGTTCTTACTCAATTTTTCATCTGTTTTGTGTTCGCTGTTGCAGAAAGACTCGCCTCTTGGGTTCAAGGAGCTGGAGTGGTTCGCGGACATCGACCTGTTCCACGCCCATTCGCCCGCCAAAACCACTACGGCGGAGGTCCCCGAGTTCTTCGCCTCGCCGCAGCCAGCGAGCAACGCCGGGTTCTACAAGACGAACGGAGTAGCGCGCCAGAGCAAGAAGCCACGGATGGAGGTGCCTGAGGACGACGAGGACTACTTCATCGTTCCTGATCTTGGCTGAGACGAGAGATCTTTGCATGATTCTCCTGTCATGTGATGTGTATGTATGCAAAACATGTATGCCATCATGAGATGCACTGACGCTTACGTTGGACATATATATGTAACTATATAAGGCAGGGCCATACTTGCGGCCTGATAAATGAGATCGGTTTGATGTATGAGATGAATTCACTTGGTGCAAATGTTCTTCAGCTGGCGTACCATTCTATCAGATGTTTACCAGTGATATCGTGCTTGCATCAGCTAAACATTTGTGTCGCCTGAACACGGTCAAATTGACTAACAAGTTGATTAACAGAGACAGGTTTGCGAATGGAATAAAAATGCAGTGTACCGATATCATTCGGAAGCACCAAGATCTGAACATTCGATAATTTATTCTTTTACAATCTGTGCGCAGTTTATTTCACAATCACAAGACAACATTACAAATTAGCTAATTTCTGGTAAAACCTGAAATGTTATGCTAACAATACAGGGAGATCAACTGGCACTACGCACAATCTAGCTCCAGTAAAAGGAATATTAATAAGAGAACCAAATGAAGCAATACCAGTTTTGTATGAGTGGATACTCGCGTATCTTGAAGGCTTTACAAAAATTAGCACTTACAAAGGAGGGCTACGGCTAACACAAGGAATTTCAACAAAAGCATGAAACCATAAGAATATGCTCTATAACATCAAAGCTATCAGTCATCGAATTCAAATGGCCCCATTGAATTCCAGTTATATTATGATCACTGTAAAACAATAGTGAGGGTTGGTCCTATCACTAGACGATCGTAAATTCTTTCTCCACAATGTACTTTTTGCAGTGTACATAAATATGACGATCGTCATATACAAATCCCAATTTTTTCACCTTTTCTTCAACAATGAACTAGCTCTCAGAAAGATTTTATCAATCTCGTCGAGCTCTGACACTTTCAGTTCTTTTGAAGGTGAATCAGTCTTATCTGAAAGTGAAGCGATCTTCCGTAGATGCGCCTCGAAATCATCTGGTTCGTTATCATTTTTTTCTGAGGGAAACTTATCCAGCCTATCGAGATACAAGGGGCGATCCTTGTTGTCCTCTTCCTGCTCCTCTGATTCTGTCTCAAAAATGTCAGAGAGATCCTCAGACTCTGAAAATGACAAAGACTCTGAAGCTGAGTCATCCTCAACCTCAGAACTTTCATCCTCTAACCTCTTGGATCCCTCTACACTTCCTGACAGGAGATCAGATACGGTTTTGCTGTGAACTGAACTACAAGGTTCTTTTCTCGCTGGCATACTATTTGTATTGTGTGAAATTGAAGCAACATGTTTCCCTACACTTTGTCCTTTATGCTCTCCAGCTAACTTCATCTGCGCATAAAGATCTTCAAGCTCCTGCTCAAGCCTAGGAATATACCGCCTAAGAGCTCTGAGCTTTTCCATATATTTGGATTTATCCAGTGCCTAATTGAAAATTCCAAAACAATAAATATGATGAACAAAAGAACAACTTTTAGAGAAAAAAGGGCAACTATTTGTCTATGCTTTAGTATATTATTAATTTACACCTCAAAACACCCTTGCCTCTACCTAGATAAAATTGGCTGGATATGTTTCCAATTCTGTAATACAGTGACATTGATAGATGACTTGTTGAAACAAATCAACAAATTTAGGAAGCCTTACCGTGGTTATATTGCTTGAACTTCTTGGAACTGTCCTATTACTAGTGTTCTAATGTTTTCTACCCAACTATAACATACATCCTATGGTAAAGATGTAGATATGTTTTTCCTTGCACTATGATGCCAGAAGACGTACCTTTTTCCTAGAGAGTGAAACTTTTGGAGACATGATTTCTGGTGGTGGCTGTGCATAGTTTTTCCCTCTGTACATGATAATTGTGTTCCCATCTTGAATGTCAAGCACAATCCCACCACTTAGTCTGGCTAACTCAGTGGCAATTTCCTCCTTGACCTCCTCTGGTGTGAATGTTTTCACAATTACCTGGAGAGTTTGATGCTTTTTCCAATGCAAGTGCATGTTCAAGATCACTCCCTGATAAATTCCACGTCTTCCAACAGGCACATAGTTTTTACATTTTTGGCCCATCTTGAGGAAGTAGAAGTGCTCTTCAGGTGTAAGCACCTCGGGATCATGTGTAGGTTCTGATGGATCTTCCGGTTCAATTTTTTTCAGTGCTGCAACAAGCCGCTCTTCCTTCTTTCGAGCCTTTATGGAACATCCAAGAAAACATAGAATACATTCAGAATAGAGTGATTATGAATTATAGGCGATAAGAAGTAGTTTCTTGCTAGAGTGAAGGTTCAACAAATGCCAAAGGATGAATAGGAACATTGGATGAATGTAAGCAAACATCAATTATTTATTTTAAAGAATCACTGCTACCAAATCAAATATGTAATAGGTATGGAGGGAATGGCAACGCAACTTACTAGCTTCAGTTTGTACAAAATCTTCTCCTCTGCAGTCATTCTTTGGATCTCCTTTTTCTTTTTCCATCTCAAGGATTTCAAAAATCTTGTTACTGCCCTCCTTCCTTTCAGCTTTTTCCTCTTGGGTTTTGGTTCACTAGAATCAACTGGTACAGACACTCCTGGATTTTGATGAGGCCCTGCAGTAGCCTGATTTCCACTATTGACTGATCGACTTGTATGGATACAATGGTAGGCTTGAATGTTACAACTTTGCAACCAACTGAAGAACCCAGGATCTCGGTTGAAAACCTTGTGGAAAGTATAACTAGAACAGAATCAGAACATGCAAAACAAGAAAACTGCAGAATTGTGGAATTGTTTCAATAGTGAACTGGTCCACCGCTGAGAATCAGAATGTGCTCATAGGTATGGGTGCGCACAGACAGAGATAAAAGTATAGACAACAAATGTAAAAACGTGGCTGAAAGCAATAAACTGTGTTCGAAGGTTCCCCTCTCCGGCATTTAGACAAACACCTGATGCAACTATGCCCCGGAGAGGCTCTACCATTTCATCGCAGACCAACGGCACAGGAGCAATCGAAAGCAAAGTCTAGACACAGTAATATCTTCATCATCACCTCACTGAATTTGCATCGACCACTTAATAAAGTAATAATCAAGGCAGGAGGATCAATGGGGTTTGTCTGACTCTTACGATGGTGAGCTGGGCAGATGCGCGAGCAGCTCCAGCGTCCCATGGGAAGACGCCAAGCTCCCACCGTAAGACGAAGGGAAAAGTGAGCGAGACCGTGGTTCCTGTCGCCGCCACAACCTTGTGTGCCGCTGGAGCAGGAAGAGACGGCTGGCCATCACCGGGCCAGCAGGGCACACGCAGTAGGGTGTAGGGAGCGAGAGGGAGTGTGATAGAGAAACCACGTCCGCGCCTTGGGCCAAAGCGTGCGGAAGCTCTAGGCGCTAAGCCGCCAGCGGGGAGGCGGGAGTACCGCCGACGCCGACCGCGTGGGGGCTCCTGCGCTGGGCGGCGCGAGCGTGCGGGGGCAATGGCTTGCGCATTGCGGCGCGAGAATTCTGCGGGAGCGGAGTGGGGAGCGCTTCTGGGTGACGGGCCCGTGACGGGGACGACACCTCGGGCTCTCTCAGCCGTGTGGGCCGTGCAAAAAACGCCCGCGGCTGGCTACAGGCCCAGCCGCCCAGGCCGGTGTAGAAGGAAGAGACGCTCCTTGTGGGCTTGGCCTGAGGAGGACTTCCTGGGCCGAACTCTATTTCCGTTTTTCGTTTGGAGGGACACTGGTTCCTTTAAAAAAAAGGAGTAAGAGACACTGGTAAACTTCTCTAAAAAAAGAGACACTGGTAAACTGTTTTCATTTGATTGAATGAAGAAACGGATAAGTAATTAAAATGTGACTGACTAGCTCAATCTCTGAGAGTTGGATTAGAGGATCCCTATTTTTGAGTGATCCATCCCTTTGACGGCTCCACTACGCTGCTGGCAGTTAATAAAAACAGGGGATCACGTCTGGAGAGAGGCAAGGCATGACAGAACATGCCGACAGGATTGGGTTATACTAGTAGTCACGAAACTTACATTTGACATGTGAGCGAGATAGATAAAGTCGTGCAATGCAGATTTCACTTGACTGCTGGCCTGCGCTACACGGCAGTACGGCACCTCGTTTTACTAGGCGGCCAGGTCATACAGCTGGGGGAATGGAAAGGCTTCTAAGCGAGATGATGGATCCTATCAGAGACCTACGACTGCAGCAATATTACTGTAGCAAAGACCTCCGGCTGCAGCCAATGCAGCCGAGCACACTGACGCTTCCATGGGTTAATTTATTTACTCATAGGTACGTTGATGGACAAAAATCATTACCCATTGTGTCACGACCCGACTATCATTCCAAATTTAAACTTTGCAAAAAAAAAAAAATCGAAGACCTCACCCCTGACCATCACCTCCTGACCCTTGAAGTGAACCTCGTTAGTCTCTAGAAACTTCTCATAGATGATGCAGCTCTACCCTTCTATGTCTTGAGATCATCTTTTCTCCCTACCTTTTTCATGCCATACGGCCTGTTCGGCTGGGACTGAAATGATCGTATACGATCGTGGATTATTACTGCTGGCTGGTTTGATGTGAGAGAAAAATACTGTTCTGGCTGAAAATTTACGATCGTTTACGACCAAACGAACAGGATGCCGGGTTCGTCAACACACTGTTTCATCTCTCGGCTCGCATTGAGCAACGTTCAACCGTGAGTTAATCAATGTGAGCTAGTCACCTCTTCTCAAACCGTGTCTTACAACTTTCTGTAATAGGGATTCCTAGATATTGTAGTGGTAGATCACTCAATTTGCAGCCAAAGAGTTTGGTGTATTGTGTTTTTACATCCTGAGTTTCACCAAAGCAAAATAATTCACTTTTATGAAAATGAAAATTGATGACCTAAAAGTTATTTAAAAGCAGAAAATTAAAAATACTGTGTTTATATTCGTCCCATTATATTGGTTTGCCTACCTAATGGACTATTGGTTTGCCAACCTAATGGACTAGATGTTAGCTAGGATCTGGACTAACACTTAGCTATTAATATGCATATATTTAAATAGACTATGGTTGCTAGTTATTAGTCCAAATTATCCAAATAAATCTTAAGGTTAGTATTGTTTGTCCGAGTGATTCGAACAAATCCTAAGATTAGTCTTGACATATTTTGTGGTATAAGAAAATTCACAGCAAAAATCAAGACAATGCAATTCTAGCAGACGGATACGAAATTCAAGTCCAGCGGCAACATTAACTATTCTAGCGATATTTCATAAAACGACAATATATTTAGGTCAACAGTTGAAATACATTACATAAGCATGATCCACCGGTACTCCACCATACTAGTTTTTCTTGCTCTCCTGCTCCTTCCGTCCACCAACAGCAACTACGGCAACAAATGCAGCAACACCTACACCTACTACCGCAGCCATTGGTGCTATCCTCGGCCTGTAGCTTGTGCAGTGCCTCAGGCACTCGCTGACGTATCTTTCCTGCTTGACTGCAATGCCATTTGTGCTCCTCCGCGCTCATACCACTCTCAGGACCATAACCCTGTACATGAATGAAGGAGATTGTCATTACCGAAAAACAAAGCACCCTGAAAATTCATAATTGTTTGAAATATTCGCAAGAGCATCTTACCAGTTCTATATTGTTGCCATTGATTTTGCTTGTGTCTGCAAAAGGTTGCAAGTAAGACAGATTAGTGCTACAGATTGGATTTCGAGTTTGTTACAACAAATCAATTCTATCCTACCATAGTTGTGATGGCGGCAGATATCCTTGATACGTCGTGATCTCTAAGTTGGTAGTTGTGCCTAGTCCTCGCGGGCTTCCTCCTTGGTCATCCTCCGTTGATGGACCAGATATATGGTCGGTGAGGGTACCCCGGGCCCATATCTCTGACAGTAGCTCCCGTAGGATTTAATGACGGGCTCGTAGAGCTGTACCATCTTTCGGGTGCTTGAGTCCCTGTAACGTTCGGGTGCCGTAGGTCCCGATGAACACTTCTCGGGTACCGAGATGCTTGAATACAATCAGAAGGTCCTGAGTATTGGGATGACTGTGCGGGTTGCGCTGACTGACAGTAATGCCTTCCCGAGTTTCAGGATTTCTTCGGGTGGAAGTCTCCCACCTATTTGAGCGCATCGCATGCGCGTCATTGAATCCTGTAAAAGATAAGGATAGTGGTGCCTGGGAACTCAAACCGTTATATTTCCCATGCTTTTTCTTTGTGGAACCCTCTCGATGCCTGAGTGTGTTTTTAATGCCAACCACCCACTCCCCCACTACCATCTTTAGGGCGCTTATTTAAGCAGGGGGTAGGGAGGCCAGTGAGTCTCACCCCTCCTTTCTTCCCCAAATCCTTTAGACTTAGACAGGGTGCGAGAGTGGTGATTCTAGTTCTGCGCCATGGTTCATGGTGATTTTCGACGGTCGCGCCGACGTTGGGAAAAGGCTTTCAAGATCGGGTTCCACAGCGGCCTAGCGGTGGCCATTCTCCTTGGGTGTTAGAGGAAGTTCCGCGAAGATGGGGAGGAACAATACCATTGGTGGCCTGGGTCGCTGAGGACGCGGTGGCTGGGCTCACCGGTGGTCGGCGCTCAGGAGCTCCCCGGGTCAGAATATCTATAGGGAATCTTGGAGGGCAAAGGGCAGCTTGCTGTTGTCGGGAAACCCTTTACCCCACAGATCTCGATCTGGATGCTCTTGTGTATCGATTCAGAGGCTTGACGCCACCGAGTCAACGCCGTTCGCTCCTCCCCGATGCCACAAAAGATGGCGCGAGCCGCCCTCCTCACGAGGCTTCTCCTCCTCTTGGATGTTAGAGGAAGCTCCATGTGGTGGGACTCCTAGAAGCGTCTTCCAAGCATCGTCTAAGCTTGTGAAGGTTGAAGGTGGGGTAAGGGTCGCTGTGCGCCTTCATCTGACTTCTACGCTTCATGAGATGTCCATCGCTTGAGTCGTGAAGTCAAACCTGTACTTAGAAGGTTTATCATAACTGTAGCAGTTTCGATAGATTGTGGTTATTGTAAGCCTGATGATGTAAGAGACATCAGAGTTTAATAAAAAAAGAATGACTTTTGTTGATTTTGAACACTACTACCTATTTTCCGATTAGATCGGGTGGTTTGAAGATTTTTGTTTAGTTGAATCCGACCTTGCATTTTTACAGGCCCCCTTCTCGACCCGATGGGTAGTTAGTGTAACTACGGGTTATGCAAGGCAACTCGATCTGAAATTTTACTATGACCAAGTGCGGTCATTCGTGGCTCTAGAAGTCAGCAATCCCGAGAGCTCAAGGATTACTTGGGCGAATAGCGAACACATGTAAGCCTCTGAGGCTGTGGTGTATGCTATTCTATCGAGTTAATAACGGGTAGAACGGGTGAACGTCCGCTATCCGGAAGCGGTAGGACAAAGCCTGACCAGCTAGGGCATGTCATAAAACTCTTTTTCTAGATTTCAGGAGCTCGTACTTTGGTTGCAGCCACGGGCTGACCAATTTTCTGGTTTCCCCCGGAGGGGCACACATCCGCTAAAATAAGGTACTTAGAGCATGTCCGAACATTCAAAGGATTTACTTAGCCTCGAGGCCAGAGGTTTTAGGATCGGCTAGCGACCCCCCGAACATCCTCCTCACTCTAGAAATGGCAGGGGTTTGGCTTTCATGATTCTAAGACAGAATCACCGACTTCACCTGCCGCTTTGGTGGGCTACGCCAAGCTTTGGTGGGGTCCAAATGTTGGTCCACTTGGTTTCACCAGGAATTTTGGGCCTCAAGCCTAGGGTCCATAAGGGTTTTTACTAGTATTAGTCATCCTTATAGGTTAGCCGAGGGTGGAGACGGTCCGTCCCTTTGCCGCCGTCGACAAAAGAAGTAGTGCTCACTCCTCTGCTTACCTTGACCTAGCAGACGTCGTCACATCTAGATCTTGCTCCCGGTAGTCGTAATCATGGCACCCAGAAAGACCCTGGCCAAGAAAACCAAAACTATTAGTTCAGTAAGTGAAGAAGATATGAGCTCGAAGAACAGAGGGGGACGGAGTCCCATCCCCAGTTCTCCGTGGGAGGTGTCGACGGTGACGGAGGAGGACATCAAGAATCTTGTGGTTGGGGGATTCCTAGCGCCAAGGGAGCTTTCGGGTTATCGGTGTGCCCTTGGCCAGGATGTTCCCGCCCTAAATTCCGATGAGATTGTAGTCTTCGTCGACTTCTTTCACCGCGAATTCAGGGTGCCCATCCACTGGTTCGTTCGAGATCTCCTCCAATACCATGACGCGTAGGTACATCACCT